GGCTCAAGTGGTAGAATGCTAGCCTTGAGCAAAATAAGCTCAGGGACAGTGCCCAAGCCCTGAGTTCAAGCCCCAAGACTGGCAAAAAAAAAAAAAAAAAAAGTACAAAGGTGGAATCACAGGAAGAAAAAAGAGCATGGACCAGCTGAGGCTGGAGCTACAGACAATCCACGTAGTTCCTGGGTGCCAGAACTCAGTTCACATTATTTCCCACTCTGATCTCCACCGTCCCCAGTGTTTCTGGTTCAAGCAGCAACCTCTAAGGAACAGCCATCACTGTGATGTTTTCATCCTTATAACAACAGCAAAGGTAGTGCTGAGCTTTCGGTAGGCACTCATGCAGTGTTGCTTGTCTGCCTGGGACCTGTGTGGCCAGTGGGTTGAGGTCTATACGTACAACTCTTTTGAAATGTAAGACACCTGGGATATAAAATCCATGTTGGGGATGGGAATGTAGCTCAGTGGTAAGTTCTTCAGCACCATCCCTAGTGCCCTTCCCCTCCCCCCATTTGCCTTGGTCTAGCTTACAAAGTCCAGTGTCCTCCTGAACCTTGCCTCCACCAATCCCTTCCTGCACAGGCCGTGTCTGCCTCCTCCATCCTTAGGAAATGAGGGACCCACCATCCTCTGCCAAGTTTACCAGGGGAATCGGTGCTGTAGGGAGTGTGGGTACAGGAAGGGCAGGGTGAAGGGCACAGGGAAGATAGACATTCAGGAGTTCAGTCCCTTACTGGTTCCTGCAAAGATCACAGGTGTGGCCACTCCGCGCCTCTTGCCAGGCCCAGTGGCTCCGGGGCGAGAGGTGTTGCCATGGCTTCGGAAGAGGCGGCCATTTCGGAAGACAAGCAGTTGCAGGGTGCAGTCTGGGGGAACTGGGGGAGCCAGGGCAGCCGGAAGGGATGAGAATAGGCTGGGGGGCAGCTGGATGGAACCCAGGGCCACACTGTTCTGGGGGGGTGAGGGACACAGGAACTCCTCAGTGACACTCAGAACCCATGAAATCACATTTCCTGTCCCTTTCTGGCTTCACTTTGTCCCACCTGCCCTCCTCCCACTCTCCAGACCCCACCTTCTCTCATACCTACCCCCCACCACCACACACCCATCCCCACACCCCTTCCCCTGTGCCCACCTTGATGTGGAAAGATGACAGAGAAATGTTGGGTCTCCCCGTGGTGCAGCGGAAGCGCAGCTGCTGGTCAGCTGGGGGCTCAGGCTCAGGTGGGGCATTCTGGCCAGGGCTGCCCAGCTGTACGCCTGACATGCCTGCCTCCTTCCTCTGGAAGGCTGTGCAGGTCAGGCCCACATAGCTGTGTGGCTTGATGAGGTAGGCCTCTAGGGCCACATTTCTCGAGTTCTGGGGACAGGGAAATTATTACTCCACTGTTTGAGACTTTCTCCAGAAAGCAGCTCAGGCTGCAGCCCCACCCCAGTCCTACCATCTTTTCAAAGTATGGCCAGTCTTGTGTGTACTGTGGAGTCTCCGCACCACACATGGCCATACGCATTCTCCTTCCTCTGAAGGGCCAAGTGCTTTTGTGTGTACCACATCTTCTTACCTTGCTCACACTCTCACTCCGTCTACTAATTCTATTGTCCCAACTCAACTGAAGTGCCTAGACAATATCTTGAATGTAGTTCTACTAGAGTTTTTTTGTATGTATACCAGTCGTGGGGATTGAACCCAGGGCTTGGGTGCTGTCCCTGAGCTTTTGTACTCAAGGCTAGCACTCTACCACTTGAGCCACAGCTTTGTTTATTTTAATTTTTGGTGATTCGCTGGAGACAAAAGTCTTATAGACTTCCCTGCCTGGGCTGGCCTTGAACCACTATCCTCGGATCTCAGCCTCCTGAGTAGCTAGGATTACAAATAGGAGCCACTGGTACCTGGCTCTATCAAACCAACCAAATTAGAAAGATCACCCTCCCCTCATGGCACGTCATCATTCCTTTTCTATGAGTGCTGTCAGCTGGAGATCAAGCCCTCCTCCTGTTCCCTTTACTCCTTCTCAGCTTCCTCTGATTTATGTCCAGCAGGCCGGCCACCCCGCTCAGCTCCCTCCAACTCAAGCCCTCCAGCTCATGTATGACTTCTTCGTCACCGGCCCCTCTCCTTTGTAAGCCCTGTTTGCTGTTTTTGACAGCTGGTGCCTGGCAGGTACACTAGAGAGTGAGAGAGGGAAGTGTTCTTTCTATAGATCATGCAGGCTTGGCCCTAGTCAACTTCAGGTCCTTCCCAGTGCTCCCCTGTCCCATCCTGATCCACATTACCACAGAGATGTGCTGAGCATGGGGGCTGAGAGCAGCACTCCCAATGCGCTCCAGGGCACCCACAATGCCACTGCAGGCCTTGTCTTCACGCTGGGCCAGCCAGAGCAGGTGCTCGTCCACCAGCATCAGGTTGCTGGCCATGTCCACCATCACCTCTACCAGCTGTGGGGAGGGCAAGAGAGGCACAGGGAAGGAAGGAGTGGAGTTTAGGATCTAGGGGCTGGGCTGTGGGAGAGGCCCAAGGCAGTGGGAGGTGACTCTCAGGGACCCAAGACTCGTTGACTCTTACCTCTTTGATTTGGTCTACGTAACCCAAAAATTTCTGAATCATCTGAGCCACATAGACCACATCCATCATGTCTGAAAAGCTGGCAGCCTCAGCTGTGTATACTCTCAGTTGGTGGGCCAGGGTTAGTGCATTGGAGGCATTGATGGGCATCTGGGGGTGTTGGGAGGGAAAAGGATCACTCCATCTTCTTCCTTCTGCCCCAGAACTACCCTAAGGAGCCCTTGTCCTTGGTACTGGTGCTCAGAGCTATAGAAGCCTGTACCACCTACTATAGAGAGGACCCTGCTCATCACAGTCCAAGGCTGCCCACTTGCAGCATCTCTGGGGTAAGGACAATGACAGTACATCCCAATGCAGAAGGATAATGAGGGGGATGGGATGGAGGACCCGAAGTAGCTCTGTGGGCATGAATTCCCTGCAAGAGGACACAGCTGTGGAGAGGAATGGAGTACACCCTCAGAGCAACCTTGGGCTGGGCTCCCTGCCCCCATGGGGCCTCAGTCTTCAACCCCAAACCAGAGCTGGAGGGGTGCCCCACCCTTCCTCTCCTAGCCTCACCAGCACAAAGGTGTAGAGCACTCGGGTGATGTCATTGGTGTACAAACAATGGGAGTAGTCCCCCGGCTCCCAACGGCCAGCTCGGTCACACCGGCGAGAGGCTCGGGTACCTGGGGCACCCCCACTCAGGGGCACTGAGGTGAAGGGATACTGTAGGCAGGACTGGTAGGCTGTAATACCAGCTAGAGTTCGAGGCCACCTGTGGACAGAGGGGGAAGGTAATGTGACCCAGGCTCCTCAGGACCATTAGCTCCCGCCCTTTGAATTGTGATGCCAAACCCTTGGGTGTGTGGGTACAGATGACCCTCAAGTTCTACTCTATAAAGTTTTCTCTGACAGTGCTATTCCAAGTGATATAGGGGTGCACTCAGAGTTCTGAGTTCAAGTCTAATCCTGCCACTTAATAGCTACAGCCTTAGGCAAGCCACTATGCTTTCTGGTGTTTAGTATCCTTAACTATAGAATGGGAAAAACAATACTGACCCTGACATACATAAGGGGTCACAGTGATACTAATATTAAAATATGACAGTACCAGTGGCTCACACCTGTAATCCTAGCTACTCAGGAGGCTGAGATCTGAGGGTTATTCTTCAAAGCCAGTCCAGGCAGAAAAGTCTTCTCTCCAATTATCTACCAAGTAAAAAAAGCTGGAAGTGGTACTGTGGCTCAAGTGGTAGAGCCTAACCTTGAGCAAGAAAAGCTCAGGGAGCTGGGTTTACTGGCTCCTGTAATCCTACCTACTCATGAGGCTGATATCTGAGGACTGTTAGTTTAAGCCAGCTCAGGCAGGAAAGTCCATGAGATTCTTATCTCCAATTAACCACCAGAAAACTGGAAATGGAGTTGTGGCTCAAAGTGGTAGAGTGCTAGTCTTGAGCACAAAAGTTCAGTGCCCAGGCCCTGAGTCCAAGCTCTAGGACTGGCACAAAAATCAAAATCAAAATCATGTTTGGAGGAGACCTTACAAACTACTAGTGTGAGGAAGCAATTTAAAGCTTTGTGGTCTATGCAGCACATCTCACATGATGAGTGTACCCCTGAATGTAAGTTCTCTTGAAACGCAAGGATAAGACTTTGGACTGAAGGAAAGAGTGGACAGGGAGCTTCTGGTCATCTTTGCTCTCAGGTACAAAAGTAGGGATGAAGGGCAGGGACTGCATGGGGTGGGACCATAGTCAGATCTCTGGTGCAGCCCTCTGCAGAGCAGAACAACAGAACCTGAAGTCCCCGCGGTTGTTGGCCACACGCTCAGCTGGGCAGTAGGAGGCGGAGGTCTCCAGCACCACAATCTCCACCTTCTTGCTGGTGTTGCCCTGGGCCGTGGATACCAAGCATTCCCATTCTCCTGAGGCCCAGACGCTGATGTGAGACAAGGTCAGCTCGCTGCAGACAGGGGTGGGGGCTGGCTCATTAGGATGCTCCAGGACCAGCTCCACACTACCACAGTGGTCCTGGCCATCCCCTGTCCCCCTGAAAACATAGGCTCCTGCCCTGGAGTAATACCATCAGGACCTTTTTCTCTATTGGAAGGAAGGATACAGGTGCACTTCTTTAGTTTGACTGGCCTTATGGTATTGTTTTCTGAGTTTTAATTTCTCTGTCTTTATAATGGAGACAATCACTTCTCTTATAGAGCTACTGTAGAGATCAACCTAGACAATACAGGTGAAGGCCTCTTAGACATGATAAGCATGAGAAAAAGCTGGGTGTCAGTGGCTCATGCCTGTAATCCTAGCTACTCAAGAGGCTGAGATCTTAGGTCAGTGATTTGAAGCAGCCTGGACAAGAAAGGGTGAGAGACTCTTATCTTCAAATAAACACCAAAAAGCCAGAAGTGGAGCTGTGGCTCCAGTGGTAAAGCACCAGCCTTGAGTAAAAAAGTTAAAGGAGAGTGCCTAGGCTCTGAGTTTAAGCCCCAGTATGGGCACAAAAACAACAGACACACACACACAAGAAAAACCCCAGAAATGACACTGTGGCTCAAATGGTAAAGCACTTGCCTTGAGCTAAAGAGCTGAGGGACAGTGCCTAGGCCCAGAGCTCAAGTCCCATGACCAACAACAACCAAAAAAAGCAAAAACAAAACAAAACACAGTCAGCCTGTTGCAGAATCTACTCTTAACTACCTGTGATGGAGATAATGGCCTTTTGCTGGGCACCTGTGGCTCATGCCTGTAATCCTAGTTACTCAGGTAATACTCAGGAGGCTGAGATATCAGGATCATGGTTCACAGCCAGCGGGGCAGTAAAGTTCATGAGACTCTTATCTCCAATAAACCACCAGAAAACTGGAAGTGGCACCGTGGCTCAAGTGGTAAAAGAAAGCCTCACTAGAGAAATGTCAAATGTCATTTGTTTTTTTCTTTTCTTTTCTTTCTTTCTTTCTTTCTTTTGTTTGTCAGTTGTGGGGCTTGAACTCTGGGCCTGGGCGCTGTCCTTCAGCTCTTCACTCAAAGTTAGTGCTCTACCACTTGAGCCACAGTGCCACTTCTGGCTTTTTCTGCTTATGTGGTGCTGAGGAATCGAACCCAGGGCCTCATGCATATAAGGCAAGCACTCCACCACTGAACCACCTTCCCACCCCTGTCACTTGTTTTTCTATCAGATGTTTAATTTCCAATCTCTGTTCAGGCTATTTATGGTTGTCTTAGCTTTCTAGAAATTCACATGTAGCTACACATAAATGCACACACACACACACACACACACACACACACACATATCACACATACACACACATTCCCAGGAGAAAGTCTGGGCCTGGCTGTTTGATGTATGAAATGGAAACCACAGCTAAGGAGCAGCAGGGCCTACCTGGTGATGAAGGTGCAGTCATGGATAAGGCTCTGGGCTAGGACGATGCCTGCCTGCTCATCCCCCTGCACTGGAGCCCGATTGTGGTACCAGCGAATGCGTGTGTCATTGCCCAGGTAGCTGGCAGAGCACTGGAAGGGCAGCCGGTCACCTTGGAACACCACTTGTCGCAGGGATGGAATGAGATGGTGTGTGTGCAGCTCCAGCGCCCCCTCTGTGGAGGAAATGGCTCTGTGAGGCTTGACTACACAAGGAGAGAGAATCCAGCAGGGAAAGGCAGCCCTCTGTCTGCAGCCTGCTCAGGCTGGCAAGGAGAAGGTTCACTAGAAAGCCTCCAAGATTAGAGAGGAGGAGAGGGGCAGGCATGTGGCTGTATCCTGGGATGTGGGACCAGATAAAAACAGAAATAAATAAGCAAGTAGTTTTGAAGGAGGCTTTGCAGAGCTAAGAACATCACTCACTAGTAGAGATTTGCCTAATTGCTGACGAAGGGCTGCCCCCCCCCCCCACAGTGGAACAGAGGGAAAGATCCAGAGGACACACCCATCACACCAACCACACAAACACTCGGGGCCTTGAGCCACTGGGTGTGGATGAAGGGCAGGGCTCTGTGCCTGGGCCTGGAGTCAGGCAGGTGGTCCTTGGTGGATATACAGACCCAGGGTTTGCTCACCACAGCACAGCTGGGACTCCTGAAGGCTACCCAGGGCCTGGGCATGCAGGGAGCTGGGGTAGGCACAGAGCGTGTGCTCTGACAGCTGCAGGGAGTGATTCCGAGCCCAGGGAAGCAGCCAGCGCAGGTGACAGTCACAGGTCAGGAACTCAGTGCCAAAGTCCCTGTGGGGCCAGCAGAGGGGTCATGGAGTAGAGCAGAGGTAGTGGGAGTTTCTGGGGGTGGGGATGGGACTGAGCCTGGCAGGGCTGCAGGGGGCAGCCTTGGCACGTGTGTTCCCCACCCCACCTCAGATACTGAGAATCTGGCAGTGTCTGGTTGCCTGCACATGTGGCTATGATCTTAGCTGTCTGTCTCCTCGAGAGCCAAGGGCTGCTCCTGGCTAGGAAAGATACTCACACCACTTTAAGGGCTGGTAGTTCATCAAAGACCCCAGGTTGCAGACTGGAGAAGATGTTTCCAGATATATTTCTGCAGGGGGCAGGGAACAGTGGGTCAGGATTTTAGGGTCTCTCTGGGGCAGAGGGGAGGGGTGGGAAGAAAGAATAACAAGTCCTGTAAGGGTCTGCATTGCTTCTCCCTCCTGGACCTTTGGTCCAGTCCGTGCTTCCCCCTCCCACCTCTCACCCTTCCTCCCACATTACCCTGTCACTCACAGTCTCAGAAGCCTGGGGAGGCCTTGGAAGGTCTCGGAGGTGAGACAGCCAATCCGGTTGTTGGAGAGATCTCTAGAGAGACACACTCAGGAAGTTGGTTACATGGTAACACAAGGATTCACTTGTGAGGAGCACACGTGGGTGGCTGGGGCTCATGAGGGGTGGGGGCTTGGAACAAGGGCCAAAGTAGGCCCAGGAATGCCCACACATTTGGCCCCACAAATGTCCCGAGTGAAGGTTGGTAGGCTGAGAAGGAACAAGGGGGTAGGCAGGATGGGTGGATGCCCATGGGATCTGGGTCTTTCTCCGGGGGGGAGCGGGGTTGGGGGGGAAGGCTAGGTTTGGTGGGGGGCCATGCCACTCACAAGCGCTTCAGTTCCCCCAGGCCCAAGAAGGCTCCAGGCTGCACCGTACTGATGACATTGTTCCTCAGGTCCCTGTGGGAGACAGTGGGGAGGCTCTCACCCCTCTCACCATCTGGGGGCCACTGGATGCTCCTTGGGCGACCATTGTCACCACAGGTATTGGCTTTCTTTGGGACTTTGTTTCCTTCTAAACCTCTGTTCTCAAAGGCTGGATGCTATTGGCCCTGTAATCTTTGCTACTCAGGAGGTTGAAACCTGAAGGTCAAAGTTCAAAGCCAGTCAGGGTAGGAAATTCTGTGAGACTCCAATTAACCAGCAAAAAAAAAAAAAGCAGGAAGTGAAGGTGTACTAGAGTGTCAGCCTTGAGCAAAAACACTAAGGGACAGCACCTAGGTTGAGTTCAAGCCCCAGTATCAAAACACATGTGCGCGCACACGCATGTGCACACACACACACACACACACACAGATAAATAAAGTAATAAACCTCTGCTTCTCCTTAGATAGATCTCTTCAGCCTGCCTGGTTACCACCAAGGGTCAGAATAATGTTAGGGATGGTGTAAGAGCTTGAGAGGTGGGATGAGAAGGAAGGAGGAAGGAGGAACTCTGGAAATGGAGTGGACAGAGCTCTGGGCTGGGAGCTGGGAGCCGTGGGCCTTTACCTCCCATGTGGGTCTACCTCAGGCCTCTCCGTGGACCCTGGAAGGAAACAGGTTAACTGGCTTGTAGCTAGGCAACTGGAATCTGCCCAATCTAAGCTCCAGGCAGGGTTGAGATCATCAGTCCAGCCTCCTCACTCTTCAGAGGGCTATTGCATAGTCAAGCTCCTTAGTCCTACCTTTTCCAGTCGGGCTCTTCGAAGCCCAGAGCTAAAAGAAGGGAACAAGGAAGGTGCCTGTAGACTGAGCAGGTCACAGGACAGAAATGGCCCTGGGTGCCAACCTCCATCTGCATGGAGGGCTGAATTGCAAGCAAATACTCACAGCAGCCTCTGCCTTAATCTGGTCTCTCAAACTCTCTGCTCTAGACAGTTTCTGACTACTGGCACCTATTAACTGAGAAGGCCCACCCTACCACTTGACACACAGTCCTCTGGGCTCTTACTCGGACCACTGAGAGCCCATCCAGCTTCTGTACAGCCTCCATGCTGGGCATAGCCAGGAAGAGAGGTGCTTAGAGAGTACCATCACTCAAGGGCCACCCTGGCTTTCCCAGGCCCCATAGGGCACTTCCCAGGGGCTCACCGCTCAATGGGCATCTTTTCTGCCCCACTTAAGTGCCCTGGAGAAAAGGCAGAAGGCGAGGGTGGGAGACTGCTGGAATACCCCCATCAGGGAGGGGCTGCTGAGGCAGGAAGTCAGGACAGTGACAGAGACACCTGGGGTCAACCAGCTTTCCAAGGCCCTGCCACCCCTGGCTCATACAGAGGCAGGGAGTCCTTGGCTCTGCTGGCCACAGCCACAGGAACAGCTCTTCTGGGTGTGGGCGTGAGGGAGTTAACAGAGTCAGCTCCCTGCTGGGCAAGAGGAAATGGGTGTTGGGCAGGGATGAGGGAGGTGCTGTCCCAACAGGGGGCTTGTTTGTCTATTCCCAGTTGGGGATTCACAAAGCTGGAGGGAGGGAGGGAGGGAAGGAGAGAGGGGGAGAGAAGAGGAAAAAAGAGGAGGAGGGAGAGATTGAGAGAGATGGGGGGGAGAGCAGGGTTCCTCTGCCTCAGTACTATTTCCGTGAAGGGCTCAAATGGCCCCCAGAGTCTCCAAAAAGGAGGGAAAGCCACCAGCAGGGCCAGATTCCTAGAATCCAGAGTGCCAGGAAGGCATCCTCAGCCCTGGCCACCAGTGGCGAATGTACTAGGGAAGAGCCTAGAACGCATTGCCTGTGGTGTAGAGGGGACAAGGGATAAATGCTCCCTGCCGAGGCCACTCTCCCTAGAGACCCCCTTTGACTGCCAGGCTCCACCCCCTCCTTGCTTGCCCCTGTGCCCCTTGGCCCTTGTTGGGGTCTGGCCATTCTCAGAGCCCTGCCTCCCACCCCCATACAGGACAGGCAGAGGGAAACACATTCCTCATTGTGTCACTTCCCTTCATGGGCTGCCAAGGGGCTGAGGCCACAGCCCCCCACCCTTCCCTCTCTGTGTTTATTCTCATTTCCTCCCTGGCCCCCTCCTGAGCCCCCACCAGCCTGTCCCACGGATGCTTTGCAGATGGGAGAAAGAAGGCCCCTCAACCCTAGTTCCTCTCCCTGCCCTGTTTCCTGCAGCCCGGGCCACCACGTGGGGCCTCTCTGACAGGACAACTTGGTGTTCTTTCCCGGCTGCCTCTAGACAGCCTGCAGAACTCCCCTTGAGTTCTCTACAGAGTGGGCCAGTTGGGGGCTGCTCCCAGGCTGAGCTCTGACAAGCCTTTTGAGTCATAGGCTCAGGGCTCGGCCTCCTAGATTCTCTGAGTCAGGAAAGTAGCTCTGGGGCTGTATTCCCCTAGGGGCAGGAAGAGATGCCACCACAGGACTGGGGTATTTTTAAGACTAGCAAGGAGCCTATCAATTGATTGAATCCTTCTTCTTCCTTCTTCCTCCTCCTCCTCCTCCTCCTCTTCCTTTTCTCCTTCTCATTCTTTTGTGGTGCCAGTACTGGGTCTGGACACTGTCCCTTAGCTTTTTCCATCAAGGCTGGTGCTCTACCAATTGAGCCACAACTTTACTTCCAGCTTTTTGGTGGTTAATTAGAGATGTGTCTCACAGACTTTCCTAACCAGATTGGCTTCAATCTGAAATAGTAGCTAGGATTACAGGCCTGAGCCACCAGCAGCACCTGGCACAACCTTTTGGAAAATCTAGTTAAAGCTATGGCCAAAGCAATGCACTACTCCCATGGCTGTGCGTTCAATTTCTGAGGATCATAGGTCCTCGATTAAGAATCCCAGCCCTAGCCAGGTGCTAGTGGTTCATGCTTGCAATCCTAGCTACTCAGGAAGTTAAGATCTTAGGTTTGTGGTACAAAGCCAG